ACTAATGCTGATTCAGACTCAGATATCAATTTGCAAATAAAAAAAGTGATTTACCAAAGCAGTGCAGTCCACTAGGTGCAGAGTTCAGAACTCACAGCCCTACACTTCCAATTGGCATTTTCTAGCATATCACATGCAATCTTTGTTTTAAAAAGGTACCCTCAAATGTGAGGAAGATTAGATTCAGCCTACTAAGGTCCTAATACGATGAAGGGTCATGAAAGAGGTACAGTGTCCCAGTAGGACTATGAAAGCTGAGCTCATTTACTAACAGGAAATAAGGCTACAGGTAGAGGTTGGTATTTTCACCTAACTGAAAGGTAGAAGGAACACAGATAGAAAAGGTGGAAGAACGGGTACATTCCTGGAAAACTACCTGTAATAGTAAGGCAGTCCAAGTTCAACAGTGAAACTTCAGATAGATCCCTGCACTCTTGCAAGTGTGTGATGGGAATAACAAGAAATGATCTTAGAAATGAAACCATGATTGGCCATAAAGGGTCTTAATGGAGAGACTTGAGGTCCTGCATTTTGTTGCTCAGGCCCCGAAGCATCATTGACAATTTGTGACTTATAAGCGATGGAGACGGCATTGTGCTTTGGCAATCTCCTTCTAGTGATGATGTGAGGTGGTTGGGAGACATTTAGATTGGGATTTAAGAAACCCAATAAACCAATAGGAAGCTATCTTGAGAGCCAGGGTGCAGGGAGGGCAGGACAGAACAAGTGCAGAAGCAATGAGATTAGAAAGAATAATATATGTCATAAGAAGAAGAGGGTCAAAAGGAATATTTGTGAGGAGATCCTGGCGTCTAGCCTGAAAGAATAAAGACAAGTCACAAAGGACAATGTCTTAATGTCCTGAAGATGAATAGAAGACTTTAGAATGTTTTGTTTGTCAATAGCAAAAGACCAAGTTTCTACGTCTCAAGAATGGGCCTGATAAAAATATGATCTAGGATATTACAGGAACCTTCTAAAATGTTACAAACATGAGAATGCTGGGCTACCTTGGGTTAATGTCAGGACATTGCTCTCAGTGCTCATTGGTGAGGGGAAAGAGGAATAAATGATAATTTCAGATCTATCAACCATCCTTGGAAAGCATAAGATGACCCAGACAGAGAAAGTGTCTTTCTCTACTTTCTCAAGTTGACTTAGATGCTCACAGAGCTGGAGGACTCCAATTCAGCCCTCCAAGTGTCTAATCTATTACTGTCTATGCAACAGAACTCAACTCTGCATTAGAAACACCTGCTAATACTTGAGCTGAGTTCAACTCCTTCCACCAGGCTTCCTTCACTGTGTTCCTCTAGACAAACTCCTAAGCACACTGAAGACCAATCATTGACTTTTCTTCTACATGGGCCTCCTAAACATTCCCCTTAAAAATCACATAATAAGCAACTTTATCAAAAATATTAATTGTTTTTATTCTAGAACACAGAGGTTAATAAGAATACAGCAATGAAAAGATATAGCTCACACACACACAAACACACAAAACAATTTCTGCTCCCCAGAATCTTCAGGAAAAGTCTGAAAATTATTATTATGTAGCCAGTCCTGATCTACAGGATGCAAGCTTCATGGAGCCCTATGGGAAGGACCTGGGGTTGTTTTGTTTTATTAGAAGGCACTGTATTATATTAAATTACATCTACACAGCCAAAGGAAGTATTAAACAATCATGCTGGTTGATTTATGCAATGACTGGGGACTTGTTAAATAGGCAAAAGCTGTTACCTCGATCTCAAAACAAGGAGAACTGAGTATCACCCATCTATTTTGACTATCATCACATCGTGAATTCATCAACTTCACATGAAGGCCAAGATCAAAGCAGTAACCTATTCACCATAATCCCTCTACGAGCCAATGCACCTTGTCCAAATCCCAACAATCTACTTTTCCCTAATGACCAATTTATTCTTTCAACTTCCCTCTGTTCCCTACTTTCTTCCCTATATTTCTACACTACCATATGGTAGTGTTGGCTGATTCATAGACACTCTCTCCCTACCCCACATAACTCCATGAGGCAGGCATATTTGTGGATACAGGAGACAGAAGTTGAAAGGAGTTAAGAAATCTATTCAAGGTCACACAATTTGTCAGCGTTTCAGTCAAAGTCAAAGGAGTATACTGGCTATGGAATCTCACATTCTTTTTTTTTCCAGTGTTTTTGTTTTTGTTTATTATTCTTTTTTAATTTTTTATTTAACTTTTATTAATTACACTTTATTCATTTTGTATCCCCCCCATAAGCCCCTCCTTTCTCCCTTCCCGATCCTACCCTCCCTCCCCTTTCTGCATGCATGTCCCTCCCCAAGTCCACTGATAGGGGAGGTCCTCCTCTCCTTCTTTCTGATCTTAGTCTATCAGATCTCATCAGAAGTGGCTGCATTGTCATCTTCTGTGGCCTGGTAAGGCTGCTCCCCCCTCAGGGGGAAGTGATCAATGAGCAGGCCAATCAGATTATGTCAGAGGCAATCCCTCTTCCCATTACTATGTAACCCACTTGGACACTGAACACTGAACTGCCATGGGCTACATCTGTGCAGGGGTTCTAGGTTATCTCCATGAATAGTCCTTGGTTGGAGTATGAGTCTCTGGAATTTTATGTAAGAAGTAGGAAATAGCAAGAGCTGAAGAGGACAGGAACTCCACAAGGAGAGCAATGGAATCTCACATTCTTAACCATGGCACTTGTCCCACCCCAGTCCACCTGCAGACAAAATGTACACCTGACTAAAATGTACAGTGGACCCTTCTACCAGAGAAAATGGAGTAATGAAAGAGATACAGGGTACCTGTATTGAATTCCCCCTTCATTGTCAAAGCAAATGGAAGCTTCTGGCTTCCGGGGGGGGGGGGTAAAATAATGGCTCTTATGTCCTGTAAAATCAAACTGGATGAAATAGGTTTTTGTTCATTGGTCAGTAGTCTGAATTTTTCTGCCATGTATGTCTTGAAGTTTAAATGCTTATTACCAGAGCATGGCCTTCAGGGAAAAAAAAAAAAAAAAAAAAACTACTAATTAAAGCTGTACCTGGACTCACTTCTCTTCTGAAACACAGTGAACCTTGAGTCCCAGTTTTTCAAAAGGCCATGTGAATATATTTGTTGCTATATTTTGTATCAAATTATAAACTTCACTGAAGCTTTCTATACAGCTTGCTCTGACCTTCCAATGCAAGAAGCTTGAAAGGATTTAGTGATTTAAACATCACCCAAAGCACACTCATGTTCTTCCCCTACCTTAGATAAAACGTGGCATCTGCAAAATAAAATCTGGACTTAGGAGCACTGTACATGTTTTTGAAAATAAAGTTTGACAATCAGAGAACTTAGTCTTCTCAGGGAGTAAAGAATCTCTACGGAATGTTACCCAGATAGACTGAGAAATACAGAAAGATCCTTTCCACGTGAGATATAGATAACAAAAACCCACCACCATCACCTAGCTAGTACAGAGAAAGCACTTGGCAATTAGCAAATGTTTTTCTCAATTTCTTTGAGCACAAAAGAGAGCACCTAGTTCAAAGGCCATCAAAGATGGGTTCGTTTGAAAGGCCATCGTTATAAGTTCCTTGTGCGTCCAGTCAATCCCAAATGGAAGGAGGCTAGTGTATGGGTTTAATAAACTGAAACCTCCTTTTTTTTTTTCTTTTTTTTTTTTTTTTTAGCAGATGGTCCATTCACTGCAGGTATTCTACTAATTAGACAATTCGACAAATATAAAATATGATATAAAAATGGTTTGAGTGTACATTTTAGAGGACCTCATAAAGTAAGATCACTTATAAATTCATCTAGCCACCCTCTTCTACAAGCAAAACTGAGTAATGTTTAGAGTAAGACAGTAATGCCGTGTCATTGCCTCTGCCCCTCTCCTGGCCACATAGCTTCTGTGAGTCTGGCTGGCTCCCGTGCGTGTGTCAATCTCAGAAAACAGATCAACCCTACAAACCAAGAAACTCTCTGTCCCTATGTTTATTCCACTCTGTTATCATTGTGTATTTACATGTTTTTTTCTTAACTAAACCTCTTGGTAAGGAAGTCTTCTTAACTACTCCATCAACCAGATGGGAACCTAGTAACTTCTCAATACCTACAATCAATGAATGTGTATATGCCAGAAATAAAATGTGGGAGACCCATGGTGTGGCTGTTGATTATGCACAAGTGCACAGAGTCTGGAAATGAAGTACCGAGTCTTACGGTTTAGAGACCTGAAGGCTTTGAGGTCACATGGGAGAGGGATACACACAGAAATCTTCAGATACAAGAAAGAACAAGAATCAGTCCTGCACAATGAGATATGGAAAAGATAACGAACATGGAGAGGCATGAAGACAACACAGGAACTAGGTGCTCCTGATGAAGGAGCGTGTTCCTGAGCTAAATGTAGACCATGCCAGCTGTCACTGGGCATCACCATACTGTCATCACTAATGTCTCATGTGTGCTGCAAGACTGGTGTTTCTCCCATGAGAACATGACCCACAGAATCTGCTCAGCAGAGCACATGGGAGAGCACAGAGATTGGAGCAACAACCACCAACCCTGTATGGGTCTGAGCTAGGTCCTGTCCATATAAGTATGGTTGTGTATCTTGGTGCTCTTGTGGAACTCTCAACATTGGAAGTGGGCGTGTCTCTGATATTTTTTTGCCTTGCTCTTAGAATCCTTCTCCTCCTAGTGGGTTGCCTTATCCAGCCTTGATGTAAGAGTTGTGCCTAGTCTTAGAGTAACTTGTTATGACATGTTCTGTTGATGTATCTGGGAAGCCTGCTCTTTTTTATTTCTTTATTTTGAAAATGAAGAAGTATATCTAGAAGAGAGAGAAGCAAGGGAGAGTACTGATTGCTATTGGGATGTTATGTGTTAGGGGGAAAAAAAACTGATGTCTTGCATTATTACTTTTCTATTTCATTGAGAAGAACTCCTCACCAAACACAAGCTGAAGCTTCTTTGAAAGCACAGCAGCCTCTTACCTGCTGGTTCTGATAGGCCGTGACTGTGGTGAACACAGTCTCAGGAAAGTTGAATGTTTTCACGCCATCTCCCACAGGCACAGGTTTGGTGGGTGAAAGATCACTGCTGAAGTCTTTGCGGATCACATGGACTCGGGGCTGATATTTATGCATTGAGTGCAGAATGATCTGAAACGGGGAGAGGAAACTTTATGCCGGGTGTGACATTAAGGCCGCTGTATCTTTTCAAACTCACATGCAAAATAAAACACAAGATGCGGAGGACAGGTTAAGGGTGAGATACCCTGGGGCCTAGAGACCAGTGTAGTCAATTGTGGCGAGAACTAAGCCTCTGGATAGCATTACCTGGATACATATGATAGGCTATATTCATCGTGGATGTCAGGTGTGGTTCTGCTGACCACCCATTCTTGTGCTCAGGCAACACGCCACTGAAACTTCTCAACCTCTGCTGTGTGTCATGTTTTCCC